TCCTGAAATGTCTGTCTGCCCTGCTCCCTTAAAAGGCAATTTTAGTTGTTATTTGCAAATGTTTCGTTCTCTCCTCAAAACTTTTTTAAGAGCAAAGAAATGTTTACTCCACCAAAGAAGCAAGATGTATTTCTGAGGAACAATGAGTCTTCTCAAAGTCTTCCCTGGCTTTTCAGAGAACATTAACTAAATCACCCTAAAATGTGTGAATAACTCTGGCATTTAATGAAATACACCTAGGTAGGCATTTTTTTAAGATTTTATTTATTTATTTTTAGAGATGGGAAGGGAGGGAGAAAGAGAGGGAGAGAAACATCAATGTGCGAGACAGACATCAATCAGTTGTCTCTCATAAGCACCCTGACCTTGGACCAAACCTGCAACTCAGGCATGTGCCTGAGGGGAAATGAACTGGCGACCTTTTGCTTTGCAGAGCGATGCCCAACCAACTGAGCCTCACTGGTCAGGGCTGGGTGGGTATTTTTTACATCCTAAGAAAATGTATCTGGCCAAATGGGTTTGGAAAATTCCAGGGGTGAGTAAAATTAAACAGATTCTTTATCGCGGGATTTCCTAAACTTTGTTAAATGTTTATATTTGACATCGTAACTATAAGAGGAGCCCAAATGTGCACTCACTCCTAGTACATGGACTGTAGAAGTTTTCCCATGAGCCTATCTCACTGGCTTAGTGTTTCCCAGAACATAAATTAAGTTTTACAAGTAGTAACTTAAAACTAACAAAGTAACCACATAAAATTTAAAATACTAATAGAGCAGTAATATACTAAGTTTACAAAGAGGTATTCCATTGAAAAACATTTTTAATTTGCTGTGATAAACATATATAGGGCTGATAATTTGAGATAAGATAGTTCCTAAAATATTGAGTCCATCTATATGACTAATGTGAGTTATCCCAGTTACACTAGCCCAGAATTGTCGGTTGTCACCAGTTGGTTGTGATGACTGAGAATTAACCAGCTAAAACAACTACTGTGTTACTGGATACCTGTTGCTATGTTAGATGCAACGAGAAATAGAAATAGATCATTGCCCTATAACATTCAACAGTTCAGACGAAGAACAAAGTTTAAATAAGGTAACAAGAAAACAGTGTCACTTCAATTTCCCACTTGAACAGAAAAGATGTCACTGATTATTTATTCTGAATGTTCTCATTTGCCATCTCTGTTTAATTTTTTGGTACTAGTTCATATTATTTATACAGTAAGATCCTTCTGAAATGAAGTACTTACTTAGCAGATAACAAAATAAACATGTAGACTGCTATCAAGAGGAAAAAACTTTTTAAAATGCCACGTTATGTAATAAGATAATGTCATCTTGTGAGAACATGTTCAGTGTGTGAATTTTGTTCAAATGGCATTTTTACTCCTTAGATCTTATATACTACACGTTCTTACCAGTATTTGAAAGACAGCATGTCCACCATTCACATCTTATATACATTTAAAAATTTATATATTTACCTGTCCTGATTTGAGGCTTACAACATTTTATGCAGTTTTAATTCCTCCAGGTAAATTTCAATAAATTTGTATTTTGGTTTATTCATAAGCCGTCTGAATTTATCTGGGTTATATTTTTGCTGATTACAATACAATATAATTTAATGACTCAGTTTCTAGAATCCCATGAATAAAATATAAAAGATGAATTTAATTTGCAAGACATTAATGGGGAGCTCCAGTGCATCTCCTCCTTCTGATATCTTTCCAAAGAAATCTAATTATTTTTCACTCACTATTTCTATGAAAACTGTAAAAGTCAGGTCATAAATATTTGCATGTGTTTTATTTTTTTAACCACTTTCAGAGGCTGCTAAGTATTCCTTCAGAGAAGGTTCACAGAAAAAGAAAAGAAAACTAGGTCTGCTTTCAGCTCATCCTACACAGTTATATGAGTTGGCTTTGAACTTGACCATCATGGCACTGTCATGGGTTGTTGGTCTTTCATCTTCAGAAACCAGTGATGCAAAGGCAGGCATTTTCTTTCCATTTGCAACATTCTATACTTGGTTAACTCAAAATGAAGTCAAGAAGATTGGGATTTTTGAGACCAGCAGTAGCCAAGAAGTCTATATAACCACATTGCACTATGGTGTCAGATTCCAGAATCTTAATTATCCAACTCTCAGTTATATTGATCTTTTGTACTATTGATCTTTTTTTGGACTCTATTTCATTTTGTCTGCTTTTGTCTATTATTTCCTTCCTTTTACTCACTTTGGACTTTGTTTTTCTTTCAAGTTCCTTTAAGTGTATATTGTTTGAGATTTTTCTTGTTTCTTAACATAGACCCGTAATGTTCTGAATTTCCCTCTTAGAGCTACTTCCTCTGTGTTCCATAAATTCGGGGTTGTTGTGTTCTCCTTTCCATGTGCTCCAAGGTGTCTTTTGATTTTTTTCTTTGATCTCACTGTTATCCCATTGATTGTCGAGTAATATGTTAGTTAGCCTCCGTGTCTTTGTGTGTTTTTCATCTTTTTCCCTTCTGATTGATTTCTAGTTTCATACCATGATGGTCAGAAAAGATGTTTGATATGAGTTCCATCTTCTTAAATTTAGTGAGACTTGATTTGTGTCCTAAGATGTGGCCTATCCTAGAAAAACGTTCCATGTACCTTTGAAAAGTATGTATATTCTGCTGCTTTGGGGTGAAATGCTCTGAAGATATCAATAAAATCCATTTGACCTACTGTGCAGTTTTAGGCCACTGTCCCCTCGTTGATTTTCTGCCTGGAAGATCTATCCACTGAAGCCCTAAAATCCCTTTTTATGACTGCTTTCCTGTCAATCTCCCTTCATGTCCATCAAGATTTGCTTTACCTACTTAGGTGCTCCTATGTTGGGTGCATCAGTGTCTACAAGGGTTATATCTTCTTGTTGGATTGCTCCCTTTGTCGTTATGTAGTGTCCTCCTTTGACTCTTATTATGAAGTTGACTCTTACTATGAAATTTAGCCAAAGAAACTCGAAACACTAATTCAAAAGAATATGTTATCTAGGTTGATTGTAGAAGCAACTTTCTTTTATTTTGTTATTTTAAACTATTTTATCAAGGGTGGGATCTTCATTGGCTGAAAAGTTTCATAACTGAGAGATGTGTGCAAATAACAAGTGAGAAATGGGATTATGTTTGAGATGAAGCTCCGAACTGGGAGGGTTCCCATGGCCATGGTAGGAAAGTTGCAGTCATAGAAAGAGAGCAGTTGTCCCTTGGGACAGACGCCTCAGTTCTAAGAATTAGGTCGAGACTATATAATGGGGAAAGTCCAGGTTAATGAGCAGTTAGACACTCTTTTCTGAGAATCTGCTTATTACCTGGACTTCCCTTTAAAATCAGTTTTATACGAGGAAAGACAATGTCTAACAAAACAGAAGGCTCTGAACAAAGTCACGCTAATAAAAATTCTGGTTGTATATCATATAATAAAACTCTACAGTTTTGATTATTATATAATTTATGATGTTTTCAACTAAAGAAGGCTTTTCAAAATCATTAGCTATCTTCCAAAAGCCTGTAGTTGCAAAACCAAAAATTCAAGTCTCAACAGCTCTTCCAAAAAATCATATTTCTACATCAGATAAAAATCACGGCTCCTAGAAATGAGCACTGCAGATTTCTAATAAAGTTAAGATGTTGCTGAGCTGTTCTGTGGTTGACATAAATTTTCAATCGAGGGCATCGCAGTTCTTTGAAAAATAATTTGTTTCTACTTTTTTGGAAATGACTCTCTCTCTCTCTTTGGAGGAAATGTGGTTTATTCAAAATCATAAGAGCTAAGAGTCACAGGATTGGCATTCTAGTCCTTATTGTTACGCTAACTAGTCAAATGCCAAAAGGCAAAGAACCTCAGCTGTCTTTTTAATTGGTTCTGATTGCTTTTGACATTGGGGGAGCAATATCTGTCCCATTTCCCATGCTTGCAAAAATTCAACTATTGAGATGCTAAAGTTCTTCAAAGAAATAAATGGGATAAGCAAAGAATGTACGCTGTTGAGGGTGTGAGTGCGTGAGTTTGTATAATTCTAACACATTCACTAGATTCTGTTGCATGCTTCCCTGGACAGCAAGTGCTGTTTGCAATTGAATATGTGTTTATTCATTGCAGTTGTATGTGTGCTTGTTACTTAGGGTATGTGTGCTCATTCTACTCCTCCCCATGGATTGAAAGTGTCATTATAACAGAGGACGGGTCTTTGTTATACAGAGTCCTATCCCCAGGACCAGTGCACTGATGAACATAGTAGGTGCTCAGGAAACAATCACTGAATGAATGGAAGCGTACCACCTAAATGTACTGTGCATTGATAGTGTCCACTCTAAATTTGTACAGTATTTATTCCTTGAAACTGGTGGAATCAATGTGGTTTTGAGGTTTGTTTTGGAGGAGTTTTTTGGAATTCAGATGTGCTACAAGATCCAATTTGGAGACCATGTCCGTGAGTGTTAACAAATTGATGACTCACTTCTTAACCATCAGTTCTCTTCTGACCTGAAACCCAAACATGATGTAATTCAGGTATTTTATATTGCGGGGAGAGTTTGGTAACCTTCAATGCTATACTGATATCTTAAATGATTTTTCTCTTCTTCTGTCTTAAGAGTGTTGTCCGGGGTTATATAGTAATATGATAATGTTTGAAAAAATGAGATTCATAACCACATAAACCTAGGTTCAAGTCCCAATTATGCCACTTCCTTGTTGTAAGACTTACTGCAACCTATTAATTTCTCTAAGCCTTTGATTCCTCTTGTGGGCTTCATTATAATTCCCTCCTGAGTTTGTTGTGAGGATTAAATGTGGCGATAGGCTTGAGGTACTTACCAGGGTACCTAATCTATCACAACAGCCTTTATCTGCATCTATTATCATTCACGTAGTTCATCTTCTAAACTTTATTCTTTCTGTTTTGTTTCTTGTTCGTCTTTTGTTTTGTGTATCTGTCTGTGTGTATATATTTTCTTTTACAGATGGATACACAACTGACGACATTGAGTTTTACTGGCGCGGGGATGACAACGCGGTAACGGGAGTAACAAAGATCGAACTGCCCCAGTTCTCCATCGTGGATTACAAACTTATCACCAAGAAGGTAGTTTTTTCCACAGGTGTGTATCAGCGAAGAGGGTTAGGGCAAAAGAGTCTCCATGGCCTTTTGGAAAAAGGGTTCACTCATTTCAGGACAGGGTCCAGGGAAGGAGGGCCACTCCAGAAGGCTGAGACCTGCTCAGAACCTCAGTTCCCCATGCCCACTGCTCAACTGCGGCCCATTGGGTTATTTTCCGGAGGGCACCCCCCCCCACCCGCCAAGCTGAGCAGCTGAGCTGTGGGTCTCCCATTTGCCAGAGAAGGGACTCTGTTGGAGTCAGAATACAGAAAGAAATGAAGACCTGGGTCAGAGTTGTTTGCCCAGTTTTATGCTTCTCACAGATGTGATTTTAATTCTTTCAAATATACTGGGAATAATCAAGTTGCAGTTCACTCAAGTCTGACCACAGTGAAGCTCTCTGAGAGGGTAGGGAAGGAGAAGCTCCCATTTCCCTCAAAGGGTAGGGTTCCTTTATGTAGTATGACCTCTTGTTTTGGAACTAAAAACCCTTCCGATCCTGAGATTATCCTGATGCCTTCACCATCCTTACTCTTGCAGTACTGAGGTTCCAGATGGTTAAACTTGGTTTCATCAGCACAAATTTTCAGTAAGAAAGCCCAGCAAAGTAGTAATTGGCTACATCATCATTCGGGGGGAAATAATAAGCCCACAGGAATATTCTTCTTTATGTTTTCTCATTAACGTGAATTCCCCATGCAGACATAGCTAATACTACAAACTGGAAATGCTGAGGCACTTCCTGTTGCAAACAACTTCAGACACGAGTTGTATGATTTAGTAAGAATGGAGTGCAGCCCCTTGCTTTAAAAAAAAAAAAAGAACAATAATAACAGAAACTTTTTCTAAGTGCAAAGTGTTTTAAAACCCTGGAACTCTGTAGATATGAGTTCCTACTTCGAATACTCTTACTTTAGTATGAAGACACTTGGTTTGGCCCAAGAAGGCTACCCAGGGCTTTCTTTCAGTCACTTGGAATTTCTTTCCTCACCCCACACACCCTGTTTATCAGTGTGAATTGTTTATGTTCTAAGACTGCATTTTGTTATAAATAGTTTCTACCATGTGAATCTCAGATCGCCACAAAGGACCCAGCTTCAGGAATATGACTTTTTAGTTAAAGCTCCTACAAATATTGCTCAGAAATAGTGATTCTCCACCTCTGAGGGGGTCAGGGATCCCTTTTGAACTTCGGTGGATGCTGTGGTTTTAGAAAAAAATAATGCATCCACATGAAAACCTTCACAAAACTTTTAGGAGTTGCTGTATTACCTAAAGTACAGCCTTTGGCCCCAGATTTAAAATCATCCTGAGACTTTGGATCTTAGCCCTGGCCAGACAGCTCAGTTTGTTAGAGCTACAGCATTATCCCGATATGCGAAGGTTGCAGGTTCAATCCTTGGTCAGGGCACATATAAGAATCAACCAGTTAATGCATAAAACAAGTGGAACATGAAATCTTTCTCTCTCACTTTCTCCCCTCCTTCTCTTCCATCTTTCTCTCTGTCTCTAAAGTAAATTTTAGAAAGAGAGCTATTTTTTAATATAATCGGAGTGTGGCCTTATTCTTAGATGCAAAAAAAAAAACCAACCCAAAACAAAAAACCTTACTGGGAGGATTTGCCAAGAAACAATTGAGGCAAGACATAAGGACTGTCCCAAACTGTCTTGTCATCACAGTTATAGGGAGTGAGTATCTCTGATCCAGTGCATGAGGCTGAGCAGAGAAAACCGGGCATTCTTTTAATTACTGAGTATGGGATGTCTTCAACCCAAAGTAAGACCCCTGCTATTTAAAAACCCAGTGTTCTCAGACATGTTTTGCAGAAGAAAATGCTCTTCACCAGGGGCTAAAATTCAGTGTAGGAAGGTATACTAACCATTTATGACCCTTAACCGGCGGACCCGACAAAATATATCCCTCTCCCCCCCCATAAAAAAAAAAAAAAAAAAAAAAAAAAAATAAAATACAGTATCTTACAAGTACTGATTGATAATGATGATATTCTAAAATTACTTCTCCAGGTTCCTACCCCAGGTTGTCCCTCAGTTTCAAGCTGAAGAGAAACATTGGTTACTTTATCCTGCAAACGTACATGCCTTCCATCCTGATCACTATCCTCTCCTGGGTCTCCTTCTGGATTAACTATGATGCGTCAGCCGCAAGAGTGGCATTAGGTGGGTCTTTCCTCTCTCCTGTGGAATTTGACTCGTGTGTGTGTGTGTGTGTGTGCGTGTGTGTGCAAGCGTGCTTTCCTTACCCTGAAACTTGTGATGCCTGGTAAAACCAGACTGACACTTTATAAGGATTTGACTCTGAGACTTTGGATGATCTGATTCAGCATTAAATCAATTAAACACGTATTAAAGCTCTTTCATGTCAAAATTAGTTAACTAAATAGCTGTTGGTAATTAAATTAGTCCCATCAGGGTGATATTTTTATTGAAGCATAGTTCATGGAATATTGCTTGATAATCATTCAGTTTGTATCTGTGCTTCCTTACATGGGGAGACTTCCCTTCCATCTTTTTTCCTGAACAAGAAATCAGAAAGTGTAGTATGTAACAAAGAGCTAGGCAGAAAAATTTTTAAATCTAATGAATACTTTGGAGTAGCATGGCGGAGGGCAGGAGAAAACAAAGCGAAAATTTTGAGAAATCATCCAAGATATCACTTATTGTATGCTTTATTTTTCTTTTGTTATAAGACTACAGGAGTAGAATAAGTTATATTTCATGAACATTTTTATGTTGCTATTCCATATATAGTAAATTTATGATCTTTGACATAAATAATCAATAATCCTTATTATTTTGAGTTCTGACTAGTTCTTTAAATGTTGAAATAGTACCTCCTCCACCATGAGTTCTCAATTCAGTCATGACTTACTTGGAGAAGTCATTGATTTATTCATTCATTCAACACACATTTGTTGAACACCTTTGTGCCACACCAAATATATTAGGCACCGGACATAAAGCAGTGCCCTTTGGAAATTATGTTCCAACAGTAAAAAACAGACAATAATTGAGTAGCCATGCAGATTGTATTATATGGTAAGTTTAGTGAGGGAAATGAGCAAGGTAAAGAAGGGGGAGGTTGGTAATGCCAAGAGATGCAGGTTAGAATAATCAGGGTAGACCTTATTCATAAAATGTCAATGGAACAGAGACTTACAGGATGAAAAGCAACAGTTATCTGGATAAGAATATTCCAGGCCATGAGTGTATCAGTGAGGCAAATGCGGAGAGGGTTCAGGGGTAGGGACAATGTGTGTGAGAAAGGACGAGAAGATTACAAAGCAGGTTGGGGGCCACAGTAAAGGTCTTATGCTGAGCATAATTAGTGATTGATCAAAGAAATAACGTGATTTTATTTCAATTTTATTTTTTATTTTTACTTTTTGCAGTATCATGGTTTATATTTTATGGTTTACATTTCAGTTGTTTTATTTAATTTTGGGGGTTTTTTTTTTTTTTCATTATTTTTTTCATTACTGTTCAGTCCCTTCTACCCCCTTCCCACCCCCACAATCACCACCCTGTTGTCCATGTCCATGAGTCCTGTTTCCTTTTTGCTCAATCCCCCAACCCCTGCCCTCACTCCACAGTAGCTGCCATCTGCTCTCCATCTGTGAGTCTGTCTCTGTTTTGCTTGTTTGTTCAGTTTGTTCATTAGATTCCATATATGAATGAAATCACATGGCATTTGTATTTCTCTGACTAGCTTATTTCACTTAGCATAATATTCTCCAAGTCCATCCATGCTGTTGCAAAGGGTAAAATTTTCTTCTTTTTTATGGCCAAGTAGAATTCCACTGTGTAAATGTCCCATAGTTCTTTTATCCACTTATCTACCGATGGACACTTGGGCTATTTCCACATCTTGCTGATTATAAATAACACAGCAGTGAACATAGGGGTGCTTATGTTCTTTCGAATTAGTGTTTTGAGTTCCGTCAGATATATTCCCAGAAGTGGAATCACTGGGTCAAAAGGCAGATCCAGTTTTAACTTTCTGAGGTGTCTCCCTACCGCTTTCCACAGTGGCTGCACCAGTCTGTGTTCCTACCAACAGTGCAAAAGGGTTCCCCTTTCTCCACATCCTCTCCAGCTTGTGTTGTTTGTTGATTTATTGATGATAGCCATTCTGACAGGTGTGAGATGTTATCTCATTGTGGTTTTAATTTGCATTTCTAGGATGATTAGTGATGTTGAGCATCGTGTCATATGTCTATGGGCCATCTGTATGTCCTCTTTGGAGAAGTGTCTATTCAGATTCTTTACCCATTTTTTAATTGGGTTGTTTGATGTCACTCTTAAAGGGATCCCTTTGGCTACTGTGTCAAGTTTAGATTGTGGTGCTTCAAGGAGGGAAGAGAGAAGTTCTTGTTTGAGTCAAGTCCCTATGATTTAACCTCTTAAAATACTATCAATCTCCCCTTCATAGACAAACCACTATTATAGTTTAAAATTATCTGGTTTGTGATGTCATCTTCCTCCTGGTACTGAAAGATCCTTGAAGAAAGGTCCATATCTAATTTTGATTTCATTATCTGCATAGTTTGTCTATAGTGTGTCTCATAGTGAATGATGGTCAGTAAATATTTGCTAAAAAAGGAATGAATGAAATTTGTAAATATATTATTTCAAAGTAAAAGTTTGTTATTGATTTTACATCTGTTAGAGAAATAAGTAACTTATTTACTTTTTAAAAGAAAAGTTTAAAATAACATGCTAACAGTTTGTTACTAGGTCAAAAATACCTTAAAATGAGATTTAGATAAATAGCAAAATCAGCATTGTCAGTGTTATGATATATGTGACATACAGGATAATCTGTAGTTGATATAATGAAGAGAAAAATGAAACTGGAAAATGTTTCAAAAAGACTAATATTATAAAGAGATATGAGGACTGTACAACAGACACCTAATTCTGAAGCAAGACCAGAGTTTTTCTGGCCATGCTCAGAATCCGATGCTCAAATTCATTTTTTATCTGTTTTATGAGCATGTATACAAACAAGACAAAACCTGTGATCTTATTTGAGAGATAAGATGAAATCAGAAAACATATGTTTTTTTAAAAATCACTGAAATAAAGCAACCTCTGGGATATGCTATTAGGTAGTGTGTGAGAAAACAGGTTTCTGAGTCAGAGAGATCCCAGCTGAAATGGTGACTTCATCCCCTCCCATCTGTGCGCTCTTGACCCTGAGCTCTATTTTCACAAAGCTGGAACTTGCCATCCTCAGAACTCTAGACCCCTGGTGCTTTTTCCAACGTGTCTCTGTTTACCCCTCCAGTTATACCTCTGAGGGAAACTACTCCCCACCGTGAGGGATGCTTACTTGGGTGGACAAATAATTACAGTTTTAAATGCCATCACCTGGTGTGGCATTGTCCATATGGAATCTTGTAATATTTCTGTAGAATTTATTTGTGCGTCACATGCCTAGGTGCCCAATCTAGAAATGTGGGGGTTAGATTTTTAATTTCTCTACTACATTACGATTCCAGCTTCCCAATTTTTGCAATCATTTCTCCATGTCATCTATATAATGCATTCATTAATTTTAGGACGGTTGCAGTTATCTTATTTCCCCTTCCTAACATATTATTCTGAAAAACTCTCAATGGTATTCTTTATCGCTGGCTCACATGCTTCTCTAATGCCCACGCTGCTACCAGAGTGATTATCATAAACACAAATTGTCCCTGCATCTCTCTGCTTCAAGCTGGTCAGTGGCCCCACATTGCCTATAATTTCAAGTTCAAACTCCTCATTAGGCTCTGTATGTATAGCTCTCCATTATGGAGCCCTTACTTAACCTTCACTTTCCTCACCAGTCTTCCCATCATATCCTCATGTGGCCACATTGACTTTCTTGAGAGTATTTGGTGAGCTGGGTACTTCCACCCCACAAAGCAAGCCCCTCTTTATCAGAAAGCTCTCTTCACCGCCCATGCCCTAAGATCTAACCTCACTTTTGTCCCTCAGTCCTTAGTTGCCTGGATGGATGACTCCCATTTATTTTTCAAAATGCAACTCCAAAATCTCCATTTTCTGATCTCTTTGCTGCTACACTACAAGGCTAGTTGGGTTTTCTGTGTATTCTCAACACTCAGCCTACACATGTGTCTTAACAGAGCAGCATTTCAACCCCTTTTCAACCCCCTCCCACTAGATAAATAACTGTAACTATTACACATGTAACTAAAGACAGGTTCTAAAGCGATTAACGTTCACTATAAATTGATGATTTATGCCTATCTCCAGGGCTGTCACAGAGCTGGTACATAACAAGTGCCCAGTAACTATTTTGTGGTGCATACCTATGAATGAGTAAAGAGTACAGTAATCTGTACAGCTATAATGAGAGCAGCAAGGAAATTGGAACATTATCATTCTAACTCTCACTTTTTTTTCCAGGAATCACAACTGTCCTTACAATGACCACCATCAACACCCACCTCCGGGAGACTCTCCCTAAAATCCCCTATGTGAAGGCCATCGACATGTACCTGATGGGGTGCTTTGTCTTTGTGTTCATGGCCCTCCTGGAATACGCTTTGGTCAACTACATCTTCTTTGGAAGGGGACCCCAGCGCCAAAAGAAAGCGGCTGAGAAGGCTGCTAGTGCCAACAGTGAAAAGTTGCGCCTGGATGTCAACAAGGTAAACCCAGAGGCCAAGCCCTCCTTGCTTCTTAAACTCGTAGAAGAACACCCACGATACAGGTTCAAGGTCTTGTTTAACAAATGAGAAAACCAAGGCCGAGGGAAGAGAATGGGTAATTTTCCCCAAATCATAAAGATAATTAGCGATGGAGGCCTACATTCATTATACAACATTCAGATGTCCTTGCCCTTCACATTAGGCTTGCCCAAACCACAGTCACCTAAAAACACCTTTGTGACTTCTTCCATATCAGTATGATGTGTACTATTACTTACCTTGTATTTACTTCAGTTTACTCACATTATTTAAATGTATTTAAAAAGGAAATTTCCTATCACATAAAGCAGTACCACTTGCTAAAAAATAATCATAAGTATAAATAAATAAAAATGTAATTATATTACTAAATTCTAGGTTATTACTATGTGCTGGGCCTCAGCTCTGCATTTCACATGATTTAGAAGGGAGATAAGCAAGTACAGAGAAGACATACCAGCAACAAACTGACACTTTCTCCCTAAAGTCATCAGAAGGATAGAAAGAGGAGTGGAAGGGGAGGAAAGAATAATTTTCTCCTTAAGTGCGAGATAATTACTTAATGCCTTGCACATGTACCACTTAAAATCACTGAAGTATTTGACTGCAGCAGGCCACTATCTTGCTTAAGTCCTTGCTGCTCTCATTATAGCTGTACAGATTACGGTACTCTTTGCTCATCATTCACAGGCATAACTCAAAGAGTAATTCCCACACAGTTGTAAACCCGGTTCACTCTTTAAGGCAGTGGTTCTCAGCCTTCAGTGCCTCGTCAAATGACTGCAAGAGCATTAAGAATACTGACATCCAGGTTTCCTCCCCAGCGATTCTGATTTGCTTGTCCCCGGGTGTGCCTGGGCATCCGGGTTCAGAGTGCTGGAACTAGGAAAACAGTGGTCCTTCTAAACCAGCCGGAATCCTTCACCATAGCACTAATTATTGAACTGACACTTTAATATTTCTAATGTCAGTTTACTTCATTAGAACACTATAAATAATGTCTATTATTGAATTTTATTTGGAGCAAATCCAGGGAAAGCTACTGACTCACTAATGTTTCCACAGATCCATGTCTGATCTTCGATTTTAGACAGTTCTCTAACCAGAGGCACTCCTTTCCTGGCAGATGTTATTTGTAATGATACGAATCCAAAGTATGGCCCTTGAAAGCCAGTGAACCACAGGTCTGGGAAGCTTTCAGTTCCTTCCCAATGTCTGAAGTTTCACTATCAAAAACTATCAATAGATTCCAATGTAACATTCTGGCTCTCTCAGGCTGTCAAACGAGAGAGTGCTATTTAAACCCAATTTATGATTGTCCTGAGTTGGTGGCCTTAATAAAGAAAAGAAAATGAATAAATAAATGAAAACTCTCTTGTAAAACTGCCATTTCAAATGAGTCTAAATCCATTGCCTAATGCAAAGCTCACTTAATAACATCTGATCTTTGTTCACTTTCATCTACCCAATTTTTTTTTATTCCAATTTGCATTTAAATGACAAATTTAAGACCCGGAGAGTGGCAGTGTTCCAGCAAACTGAACCTGGAGAGCTTCAGAGTTGTAAATTCAGTGTGCTGAGAGGGAAGTACCCCATAGCGATGAAAAAGCTTGGCTGAAGTTGGACCCACAATTCAGAACGTAGAATATGAGAGAACAACCAACATAATGAGAGTTCTTCTAGTCCAGTGGTCCTCAAACCACAGGCGAAGTTGGCTATGTCTATAGATACTATAGGTTGTCCACACTGCAGGGAGGAGATTGCTTCTGGTATCTAGTGGGTAGAGGCCAGGGATGCCACATTGAACATCTCCAGAGCATTACACAGCCTCCCCATGACAAAGAATTTCCCTTTCCAGAACATCAGTACCACCGAGCTAAAAATCCTCTGTTTTAATCCAGTTCCTGTTTTTAAACATGAGAAACTGAGGCCCAGTAAGATCTCTGTCCTAATCTTAAAACTCTTTAAGACAAGTGGTTTCTCCACTTTCTTTGATCAGCAAGCATAGTATCAAGACATCAGGAGTTATTGTTTAGCATAATACTACTGAAGAAATGTTTTGAAGTCAGTCAGGTTCAAGATTTACTCTGTGTAATAGCTGTGTGATGACAGGCAAAAGAAAATGAGCCTCACTAACCCTCAATTTCCTTGTCTGTAAAATAGGGTTAATTCCTCTTTCATAGGTTTTTTATGAAGATTGTTTGTATAATGTATAGAGAGGGTAGCACAGTCTCCAGCTCATGATGAGCACTTAGTAAATGTTAATAAAATGTTAAAATATTATAAACAGTACACATTACTTTTTAAAACAAAATCTACAGTCTCCAGATCTGTTGGTGAGTTTACTTCTGTATTTCACATGGATAGCATGTAGGGTGCAATCCCTTCCCTAATAGAGGGGGTTCTCTGCGGAGGAATGTTTCAGGTCAGAAGTTGCAAAGTCAAAGCAGGGAAATCCTGAATTATCGGGTTTTAGCTTTAAAATCTATAGCAAATGACCTACTTCTAACTTTACCAATTATTTCTTAGGTCAGAATACTTACAGCTGTATTGATTAGGGTAAAACAGAGAGGTGACCATTTGGCATTTCTGACTCCATGGTTTGTTTCGGACCCAAGCAGGAAAGGTTAGGGGGGCCCACACTGGATGCTGATGGCCCAGTGCTTTCTTTTGTGTGAGTGTCATGAATAATGCCAGTCAGTTTTTTTTTATCAGGAATGCCCCTTTATTCCAACTGTAATTCTTATGATTTTTTTCTTTGAAGATTGGGCACATAAAATCAGCTGAGTATTGTTGGCGGCTCTGGGAAAATCAGTCAGTAGGGAAGGGCTCAGCTATTTCAGTTTCCTTCTGATAGTGTCCTTAAAGGTGGACACTGAGAGTCTGGTGATCCAAAGTGACAGTTGTACTGTGCTCTCCGCTCTGAGGTCAGGGAGGAAGGGAAATGGAAGTTGGCCACGCAGGAGCCCGTGTTGCCTCCACGGCTTACTTTCCCATTTTTCCCATCTCTTCTCTTTGTGAATGTCCTGTAAGTCTTTATTTTAACAAGGGTATCTGCAGCTCTTAACACAGTTCTTATAATGTCATTCAACTCATGCAAAAAACAAATTATTGGGGAAAGTCAAATAGTCAAAGTTGCATAGCAAAGTTAAAATTTTCGAGGCTTGAGCTGGGTTTTCCTATTCTATCCTCTCCAAGAGTATGACCCACAGTGCTAATAAGTGAAAAAAAAACATATAATTAAAAAGCAGATTCCACCTTCATTATATATTTAATTCACCTGAAAATCACCTGTTTACCTGGGAGAGTCCAGGACTGACAAGCAATGTCATTGTCACAGTTGTCTTCATGTGACACATCTAGTTTTGAAGCACTAGATATTTTTAAAATAAACTTCAAACCAACAAGAGGGCCACTGGACAATTCTTCTTCCCATGTATCTTCTGGAGTAGCAAAAAAAAATCTCTATCCTTGTGCTAGAAGAATCCACCTATCATCCCTTGCATTCTTCTGTTTGTGTGTGTGTGTTTATAGAATTTGCTTTGGATTAACTTTACCCACTTTTCTTGCTTATGTCTTGAAGTTTTCAGCTCCCCTCTTTGTTTTACTTAAGCTTCATGTTGTTTCCCTGTTTATTTTTCTGCCAATAACTAAGTATATACATACTTGAAAATGTGGTTACTCCTGCCTTTCCACCATGTTGATTCTTGCATCTCTGAAATTCTCCAAATATAGCCACCCCCAAATGCCTCTGTGTGGGGTCAGTCTTCTTCATCCTGCATTTAGGGGGGTTGTCAGCCTCTGTGTTGGCTTTATCCATTGTTCCCAATTTGCTGTTATACAAAGCCACTAAGATCTTTTAAATCCATTTATTTCTAGTGCTTAGCATTAGTTTTCCTTTAAATAATACATTAAAAAAGATACAACTAATTAGAAGTCCTATTCTCTGTGATGACCGGTCTTTCTGAAGACCACTAGCATTTATCTACAGCCAATTTACTTGAACCCCCAATCCTCATCCAGTAGCCTCAGTCGACTTAATTGGCACATTTTTCTACTTTGTCTTCCAGATTTTTTATAAAGATATTAAACAAAATGGGACCCAATATCGATCCTTGTGGGACCCAACTGGAAACTTCTCCCCAACTAGACGGACTACCAATTACGATTTCTCTCTGTATACGGTTAGATAGCCAGTTTTTAATCCATTTATTTGTATTTCTGTTGGGGCCAATGTGTTTAGCCTTTCCCTTTAAAATAATGTGTGTGCTCTTTGCAGATAATATGTAGACTCGTACTCACAAAGACGTGGGGATAAGTTGAAATGTTTTTGAGAGACACTAGTGGGGCTTTCCAGGGTCCGCTTTTTAAAAATGCAGCTGTGGTGAATCTAAGCATCATCATTCCATTCAGTTGTTGCTGTTGTGATAGACAAGGAAACCAAGTGGACCATCTCATTCATCTGCATTGAGAGGATAGAGTGTCCTCGCAGCTCCAGCTTTCCTTAGTTGGCTCCTGTTTCTTTTAGTTAGTGGGTAGGTGGAGAATTGTGCGTTTCTTCTGTCAGTTGGCTCAGAATTCCAGAACCTGTTTTTTATCCTAGATTATTAATCTGTGCCTAGGAATGTTATGTTCACATCAAGTCCTTGTTGCTTTATTATTTATTTTACAAATACGTATTATCTTTTTTGGCTAGTAGTTTGGGTTTCGTTTCTGAATCCTCATGTTCACAATTCTTAATCAGCAAATTGTCGTTCATACTGGCCTCCCTGTTGGAGGAGGGGGAGGTGGGGAAGGGTGGTCAGCATTCCAGCTTATCTCACATTAAACTTACCCAACTCCGAGTTTTTAAATGTTCTGTTTCTCGGTGAGGTAGTGAATGATATTAAATGCGTATGAATCATTCTTATGAGGACTCGATGCCAGATAAGCTGCCGTTATTGTACCTTGTGAATCTCACG